GTCTGATACATCCACACCTGGAACAGAAGCAAGGCCACACAGGCTTGATTTCTGTCTCCAACTTGTATACCCCTGCACCCATGGACTGTTGGTTAACCCCTCTGTGTCTCCTTTTCCTCATCTGTGAAGTGGAGACAAAAGTAATGGGTACCTCATAGGAGTCAATTAGACACTGAATACGTAAAGCGTCCAACACAATACCTGTTGTTGTTAAACGTAAAGTGTCCAACACAATACTTGTTGTTGTTAGTTGCCCTTCAAGTTGATGTCCACTCATGGCGACCACAGGTGTGCAGAGCAGAACTCCTCCATAGAGTTTTCAAGCCTGGGACTTGTTAAAGCAATCACCATCTTTGTCTTCTGAGCCATTTCTGGGTAGGTTCCAGCAGCAGCCTTTCAGCTGGTAGTGGAGCGCTTCACCGTCTGTGCCACTGGGGCTCCTGTATGATAAATACTCAGTAATCATTACCGTAATATTTGTGTGTTCTAATGCCCGCTTCTCTTCTGCACCCACTTACAATCACACTCAGACCCTTTCTTCCTTCAGCTTTTCCATCTGCAGTGGATTATCCTACGAGTAGTCAGCACTCAGTACGCGCCCAGAGAAGGGAGCAGAATGACTGGGTGCCAAAATGTTGCTTGCTTTGCCCCTTTATTTATTTATTTACTTTCCAGATTTCTTTGTAACTTTCCCTGCTGTTTCCAACCCAGCTACTATTAAAGGATGCCTGCCATCACTATGTGACGGCCTTTCAAATTTCCTACAGAAAGTCTGGAGCACATCATTTGTAAGTGGATAATCAATGTTGGGTCCCATCGAATCGATGCTGACTGAGAGCTAGCTGCCCATGTGACAGAGTGGAACTGCCCCACGGGGTTTCCTGGGATGTCATCTTCATGGAAGCAGAGCCCAAACCACACCCACTGCCATGGAGTGGATTCTGACCCACAGCGCCCCTAGAGGACAGAATGGAACTGCCCCACAAGGTTTCCAAGGCTGTCAATCTTTAGGGGAGCAGATCACCAGGTCCTTCTCCTACAGAGCTGCCGGGTGGGTTTGAACCACTGACCTTTTGGTTGGCAGCTGAGTGTGTAAATGTTATGCCCTCGGGCTCCATGGATGACCAGTAGTTCTAAGCCCTGTCACCAGGCAGGTGGGAGTGCTTTGTACGGATGTGTACAGCTTGTGGGTGGGCTCTCCTCCAGTTTGAAAGCTCTAAGCTTTGCGTCTCTCTCCAGTCGTGATAAGTTTGAACTTGGGGCCCAGTGAACAAAGGTGCACACAGACTCTGTTTAACGAGGCTCACGACCTCTCCAGGGTGATCGCCACCCTGCCGTTTTTGTTATCGCTGTTGCTGTCGTTAGGTTCCATCAGATCGGTTCTGACTCACAGCAGCTCCGTGTACAAAAGAACAAAACATTGCCCAGTGGCAAACCACCCTCATCATCTGTGCCATGCTTGAGCGCGTCGTCACAGCCATCATGTCACTCCATCTCATTGAAGGTCTCCCCTGTTGTGCTGGCTCTCTGTTTCACCAAACATGGTGCCCATTTCCAGGGACTGGTCCCTTCTGACAAGATTTCTAAAGTATGAGAGACAAAGTCTGACCACTCTTCCTTCCAAGGAGCACTCTGGCTGCACTCCTTCCAGGACAGATCTGTTAGTTCTCCTGGGCGCCATGGTACATTCAGTATTCTTCGCCAATACCACACTTCAAAGGCATCAGTTCTCCTGCAGTCTTCTTTTATTTATTGTCCAGCTTTCACATGCATGTGAGCCTATTGGTGGCTTGGGAGTATCTAAGTCCTCAAAGAGACGTCGTTGCTCTTAAACACTTTAAAAAGGTCTTTTGTAGCATGCTTGCCCGGTGCAATACATCCTTTGACTCCTTTACTGCTGTTTCCATGGGTTGTGGATCCAAGTAAAATGAAATCCTTGACAACTTCAATCTTTTCTCCACGTATCTTGATATTTCTTACTGGTCCAGTTGTGAGGATTTTTGTTTTCTTTATATTGAGGTGTAATCCATACTGAAGGCCGTGATCTTTGATCTTCATCAGTAAGTGCTTTAACTCTTCTTCACGTTCAGCGAGCAAGGCTGTGTCATGTGCATATGGTAGGTTGTCAAAGAGTCTTCCTCTGATCCAGATGGCCCGTTCTTCCTCATACAGTCCGGCTTCCCCGATTGTTTCTTCAGCGTACAGACTGAATAAGTATGCTGCCCGGACACACACCTTTCCTGATTTTGAACCATGCAGTATCCCCTTTGTTCTGTTCAGCCTCTTGGTCTGTGTACAGGTACCTCATGAGAACAGGGACTGTTCTGGAATTCCCTTATTTGTCTGTGAGTTTGTTGTCCTGTGGTCGCTTGCAGGGTGCCGTGAGGCTGGAGGCTGCGCCACCCGCATTTCCCACGCCAGCAGGGACTCCCTAGTGGAGGTTTCAGCAAAGCTTCCAGACTAAGACCTATTCAGAAGAAGGACCTGGCCAGTTCCACTTTGGAAAAAAATTGACCACAGAAATGTGCCGTTCGTTTGCCATCCAGTCAGCCCCGACTCGCGGTGGCCCCGGGCAGAGCCCGGTGCTCCCTGGCCCTGAGTCATCTCAGACCCGTCCTGGGTCAGCCCGCGATCCGCACGTTTTCATCGGCCAGACTGCAGACGCGGGTCTCCAGGCCCGCCTTCCTATCCGTCTTTGTCTGGATGATCCGCTGAGCCCTGCTCAGCCTCAGAGCAAAACGCCACTGTCCGCTGGCCGACGGTTGCTGGCTGCCCGTGAAGTGCACTGGCCAGGAATTGAACCCTCATCTCCTCCGTGGAAGGCAAGAGTTCCATCACCGGACCACCACGTCTTTGGGGCAGCATTTTGGCCAATCTGGCTGTCCGTGGAGCCATTTTACCTGATTCCAAGAAAACTGAAAAAAAAAAACAAAACTAAATACATTGTTGTCGAGTTGGATCTGACTCATAGCGACACCTCCTTGGGTTTCTGAGGCGGTATCACTGCGGAAGTAGATTGTCCAACTTGAATTCCCATGAAACTCTTTGAGATGGTGAGAATTCCATTGGGAAGATAAACTGCTTTGGGAAACTGAGCAGTCCCTCTGCAATAGCATAGGAGTGGGTGTGCATTTTAAATGTGTATCACTAGTGAAAAATATCTGTCGGGAGAGTCGGATGTAGCATTTGGTT